TCGATGATGCAGGTTCCTCATCCCATCAACACACTGAAGGAAGCTATAGGATCTACCAACAAGGCCAAGCAGCAAGAGACGTGGCAACACCGTGAGGACTGCGCTACAGCTCGAAGTCTGTGCCCAGTGGTAGATAGCAAAAAGACAAAACAACTACTAAAGTACAAAAAAAAAACTAGTACGCATAATTGTAAGGTGTCATCACGGGAAACTGCTCCACAGGGTAATCCTCGTGAGATGGAAGATTTCCAACGACTACTACTGCAGAGAATGCGGAGAGAAAGAAGAAACCATAGAGCATCTGCTGTACTACTGTCCGCTGTCCGGCAGTGGAATAACGACGCTTTAAAACTTTAGGACAAGGTTTTTTGACGGGACTAGAGGAAGCAGCAGAAGCCAACATCAGCTACATCGGGAACTTTGCAAAGAGCTGCAAGTGCTTTAACGCAAAGAAAGAATGAGAGGAAGATTTAGTACAACAATGGCAGGGGTATCGCAATGGACCCAAGGCCTCCAAGTGAGGGATCAAACATGGTCCCAAACCCCAGCAACCTAACCTAACCTTGAGATGTCAGAAATTTTCTTAGCTCTTAGTTTACTCATAAAGGAGAAAACTACTAGCATACGTTCTTTCACCGGACAAACTAATATACACCTAAATTTAACGCTAATCTCTATTAAGACAATTTCTAAAATTTAAATTTTTCTTTGCAGGACCCTTATGTAGTTGACATTAAAATGGGAACCAGAACTTTCTTAGAATCCGAAGTACGTAAGACTGTAGCCAGACCTGATTTGTATCAAAAAATGGTAGCTATCGATCCTCAAGCCCCGACCGAAGAAGAGCATCAAAACAAAGCTGTAACCAAGCTGCGTTACATGCAGTTCAGAGAACTACAATCGTCCACCTGCAGCCAAGGCTTTCGATTAGAAGCGATGAAATGCCGAGGATCACCGCCAGTTACGGATTTGAAAAAAGTCAAATCCAGAGACGAAGTTCTGAACACGCTAGACATGTTTCTCGCGGGTAGAGAGGACGTAAGACAAAGACTGTTAGCTCGACTTTGCGAGATTAGAAATAAAATAGACCAGTCCGAATACTTCAAGACGAGAGAAGTAATTGGGAGTAGCTTGTTCATCATCTACGACGATTCGAAAGTGGGAGTTTGGCTCATCGATTTTGCGAAAACTAATAAGTTACCCGAAGGAAAGACTGTCAACCATCGCACGCCATGGGTACAAGGCAATTATGAGGAAGGATTATTATTTGGATTTGATCGGCTTATTTCGGTAGTATTAATATTTTTTATTATTCGGGAAACTCCAAATTATCACTAAAATTCATTTCTTAATGATGAAATTGAATGAATTATGATAGTGACATTTGTTATCGGTCATTTTAGTTCAAAATTCGCTATGATCTATCAAATATTATATACCGATCTGGTCATCGAAACTGCGTGATCTGGATTTTAACATATAAGACAGCGATGTAAACAGCTTAATGGAAAATTAAATGCAATAAAAATAGATAACAATTGGGTTGGTACATTTCTTCTATGGATTTCCGGATTTTTCATCAAAATTTCAAACCGCACAAGTAGGCGTTTACAAAAAATGTCGCATCTAGGCTTGAAACTTTATTTTTCACAATTAATAACTCATTTTACTACAGCTGTAATAGATTATATTTAGCTTAGATAGAGTATCTGCATTTCAGTAGTATACATGAAAGTTTTTAAAATAGTTTTTTTGCTACACACCTTTTCCTACACACGTAAAAATCGGCAACACTGTATGCCGCTTTTTACTATGTCTCTCTGTCTGTCAATCGGTCATTTATATTTATCTCTGTCGCATGCATTAAAATACAGACCAAGCAGATGAAGCGACCAGGGCTAGTATCTATCCGATAAAACAATATACATATCTCGTCATGCTAAATCTGTGGTCTGGATTTTAATGGGTATGATGATGATGGATATACCCTAATGGAAATTCAAATATGCTAAAGAGAGATAAAGATTGGGTAGATGCATTAAAAGATTTATGCCCACTTGTACCGTTTGTATAAACTTTGTTTAAAGGCTAAACAGTGATTAACTATAATAAAATATTATATAGTTAATTTAGCCTTTAAACAAAGTTTATACAAACGGTTCAAGTGGGCATTAATATTTAATACCGACCAAGAAAGTGTTTTGGATATTAATATAGCAAGGGTTTAGTACCTTTATCAACTGGTTTTGACATAAGACAACTCTTTTATCTTACTCTTTATATACTCAAAGTACAGACCACGGATTTAGATTGACCAGAACAGTATAACAATATGAGTCCAAGACTGTCAATTTAATTGAAAAGTAAAAGTTTTTTCTGGTATTTTTTGAATGTCTTATGGCAAACTAACAATTTTTTTTGCTAAACAACTAAATGAAAATGACCCAATAGCTTTATTTAAAAAAAAAGAAATATTTAATTAGAGGTTATTTTAATGACAATATTACTAGAGAAATTATTTTAAAAATATTCCCAAAGTATATATCTTTTTATTAATAGCTATAAATATTAACGTCAACGTACCAATTTTGCCTGAGCGTACATTAATATATTAGACAAGTTGTAAATAAATAGAAACACTAATTACACATCGTAATTACTTTCTACCTTGTTATTGATATTTTGTTACTTAAAATAGCTGAAAATGTGTAGCCGACGTAAGTTACCAAATAATAGTTATGCAAATTACTAATGTCCACACACATGTTCCTTTTTTAAGCTGATTATTCAGTATTAACCTCGCCTGTGTAACTAAGTACATGCAATAAGAACGCACGTCAGAAAAGTGCTAATTTCACTGAACTTCAATCCCATTTATACAGGACATATTTAGAATGCTGTAAGATTTGAACGGTTAAGTCTAATTATAGTTTTCTCTTGTTACAGATCATAGAAAACATCAAAACCAGGGACGGACATCATGATTCCTTCACGAAACCCATGCCAACGGTCAGCGTAAAATCCTGAGTTAGTGCGTGTGAACAAAGTCCTTGGTATGCGCTTCCTGTAACCCTGACATGTGAAAATGTGGGGGTTTGAGCTCACAAAACGGACATTAGTGGGATCGTTGCACAGTCGGGCAGCTCTTACTGAAATTTGTGATTGTAATTCATTTATTTATCGAATGTGTTCGTTGTTCGACCCGAGTTGGTCTCGCTATTTCTTAAAAGTATTACTAATTGGTATCATTTTGTATATAATTATGATTTGGAGGACTGGATCATTTTACTGCCCTTTATCTCTTCTCTCCCTAGATATAATCCAGACCCCAAAGACCCGTGTACTTACAGAATTGGACAAATTAACTACCGTTATTTTAATTCCCTTATTAAATTTCCTACAAAAATTAAATAATATAAAAAAACTGAAATGGTAGGAATTCAATATAGAAGATAAAAATGTTAACTTTTAATAGAGAAGAATCCAAATCAATTTTTTTTTGTTAATAGACTTATTGATTGCATCTAGTCAATGTTTCTTAATATTGTAGTTATTTATGTTAGAAAACTAAGTATAAAGTTACCAGTTTTATGGGAACTATTTATTGTAAATATTGTAAATTTGATTTTTATATTCATAAATTATGATTTGAGTTACTATATGTACTTATTTAAAATATATAATAAAACAAATACATTATCTAGTTTTGTTTTATATTTTTATCATAGACCTTCCAAATCTATACTAATATAATATAAAATCCTTAAGTGACCACAATCCTTAAGTTAAACCACTCAACGTAAGAAGCTCAATTTTGGCATACAGGTTGATTCTAGGGTGTAGAGGTTCGATAAGAAGGGATTTTTCGAAATTCCAGTTCTAAGAGGGTGAAACCACCCTTCAAATATTACAATATTTTTTATTTAAAAAACGGTCAAGTTTCCGAAAAAAGACTTAAACACGTATATTTTATTTTGTTTTTTTACATATTTTAAGATTTTTTAAAAATGTATACAGGGTGTTTCGAAAATCTGGTCATTGTATAATCACGATCCTGCTTAAAGCGCTTGACGTAAAAAGCTGATTTTTGGAAAACAGTAACTTTAGGGTGTAAAGGTTCGATAAGAAGGGATTTTTCGAAACTCGAATTCTAAGGGGGTGTAACTATCCCTCAAACATTAAAATATTTTTTATTTAAAAACCGGTGAGTTTTTCGGAAAAACTCTTAAACACGTATATTTTATTTTGTTGTTTTACATATTTTAAGATTTTTTATAATTTATACAGGGTGTTTCATAAAATATGACCATTGAGTAATCACGATTCTGCTTAAACTGCTTGACGTTTAAAGCTGATTTTTGGTAAACGGATTGACTGTGGGGTGTAGTGGTTCGATAAGGAGGGGTTTCTCGAATCTCAAATTCCAAGAGGGTGAAAACGCCTCTCAAATATTACAATATTTGTTATTTAAAAAACGGTTAGTCTTTCGGGAAAACCCTTGGACAAGCATAATTTATTTGTTTTTTCTTACATATTTTGAAATTTTTTAAAAAATCATACAGGGTGTTCCAAAAAGTTGGGTAGTTTCTTAACCACGATTCTGCTTAAACTGCTTGACGTAAAAAGCTTATTTTTGGCAAACGGATTTTTCGAAGGTCAAATTCCAACAAGATGAAACTACCCCTCAAATATTACCGAGTTATATAATAATGTCGCCATATTGTTTTTTCTCATGCTGACATAAATGTGAGAAAATTTTATCCAGTTTGTATGTTAATGGAAATTCTTGCTTTGCTTTATCATCACCATTACAAATGATTAATTCGACGCGAACAAAGTCGCTGGTACACGCTATTAGGTATAAAATAAAGCATAAAATCAGAAAATCGTATTTAATTAATAGACTTAATTTTATTATTTAACCGCTAATAAATATATACACATAAATAAGTTATATAAATATAAATAAATAAGTAAAAAATAAATAAGTTAATAAAATATCACACCTAGAGTATTTGCAGACTAGAAAATGTAAATATAAAAATCATAATTGCACATGAACCTATGCAAGAAAATGTTTTAGAATATAATATTAAATTACTTATTCAACAGTTATGGGTTTCACTATCAACAATTATTCGTTACAAGAAAGAATACAACTTTTAGCGCATTGGAAGTTAATAGTTAATGAGATAAATACATTGAAAAAAATATATCAACACCTTTTAAATTTTAACTCTAACTAGTTTTTGTTTATTTTTGTAAAACATATTCTTTTTGCAAATATAATTATTTCCTTTTTGAGTGAAGTATTGGACAATATTAATATACAGGGTTTTTAACAGAACTGGTTCATTAAACGTTTTTTTAGGATCTCTAGTTTAGATACAAATTTGAATGTTTCAAGTTAATGTTATTTCTAGATGTATTTGTTTAAATATTTTCCACTTTCCTCCATAAATTTGTAGATAGAGAAAACATGAATTAGATCCTAAAAATAAACCAGTTGGTTGAAAGCACCAGTATACACGCATTGTTAACAATGTTAAATATTTGTTAAAAATATTAATATCATACTAGTCTTATTATTACATTAATAAATTAGTAAAAGTTGTAAGTTAACTAAAATATTGCACAAACAAAACCTTCCACTAAACTTATTTGTACTAAAATTTTGGAACGTCTGTATTGAAACTACACAATTAGTACTTGCTTATAAATAATAATCTATCTTGATTAGTATCTGACTAATAGAACTAAAGTTTCAAGGAGACTTTGAAGATCGTATCGGAGAGGTGCTGACAGATCGGCTAACAGATCTGCTCAATGATTTACTTCGAGAACGAGTAGTAGACCTGTGTCTTACAAAGTAAGGACTTCTGCTGCTACTGCAGCTACTTTCAGACGAGCTGGGCGAAACTCTTGTATAAGGTATTGGTCTTTTTCTAGCACTATGTTAGTAAAACAATGAAATGATGTTAGTACGAAAGTTAGTCACGTTAATGGGAGAGCACAACGACAATAAGAAAAAGCATACTTCATGCAACTTACCTTGATAAAACTGAATGTGAACAAAAAAAAACTGCAAAAATAATTCAAACAAAAATAAATATGTAACAAAAAATTTATTGTACATAACTGAATACACTAAACTAGTGAATACATTAAATAGAAACCATAATTTAAAAAGGCTTAAATATAGTCAGGCCTAATAAGTAACAGAATCTCCTACTTGTGTCTGAAATTAAAAAAAAGCAAAGTAAAAAATGATACCTACATATGTGTGCTTTTCTAAATTTATAAAATATATCAGAATATAGCTGACTGAGTGTATTTATGATTTAAATAAATAAGTTTAAATATCCCCTTTCTAAGTTATTGACTGACAGATTGATTGAACATATTATTTAACATTATGATTCATATCGCCTAAATTAAAACAGGGCGGAGTGGGCGAACTAATATTAATATTTTTGAAGCTTTTAAGGAATTAATTTCCATATAAAAAGGTTGATTCTCACTATACCTTCCGTTTCCATTCCATATTCGTTCCGTATTTTTATTGTATTGACTGGAAGTTTACGTATAGCGTAAACTTCCGTTCCGTATCAGTTCCAAACTTTTTATTGTACAATTTATATCATTACGAATCTTTTATTTTAAAAATTTGTATCTTTTGAAAAAGGTAATAGATTTAATTAAGAGGTGAAAGAATAAATAAATATCAGCAAAATTTTAACAGAACTGGTACTAAGAACTTGACAACGCTGAGCTGTTTCCGATACGCTTCAGTCCGACCGCCAAAAAAATGTATGGAAGGAAAGGATATGGAACGGAGGGGAAACCGAACGGATATTGTGCATTGTCCTATTCATTTACATGATATAATATTTTATGTAAACAGAAGGGAAACGGAAGGGAGCTGATATGAAAGGTATAGTGAGAATCAACCTTAAGGTTTCAAATGGATTTAAAATTCAATTTTATTATTGGAGAAACCTTAAAAAAATTTGGAAGTTGCTCATCTGATATGATATATTTCACAAATATACAGTGTGCGCCAAAAACTTTGCAATAAATTCAAAAAAACTATGTTTATCCAACGAGTCCGAAAATACAATTTACTGCGAATTAAAATGACAGGCAACTGTCACTGTCATATTTGGTTATCGGAACAAAGTTTATGAGGGAATCAACTCAATAGGTACCAAAAAGAAATCATATTGGCATTTGTCATGTGACCACTATCACGGCTGAAGTTTATAGAGCGCCCTTTAAACAAATACGTTATAACAAATAACGTATCTGTTAAATCGTATATTATTCTAGCTTTACAGTCTTACAATGTTTTTTTTTTATTTTTATTAAAAAACGATATTTCACCCTGCCGGATAGTCTTGGCAGCTGTGGACATTAAACCAAAATATTAAATCTATATCTCTGACTACCTGGCTACTACTAACCAACAATTTGTTTTGTGTGGTCTGTTTTGTTTAAATGTTTTGTTTATTATTCATTATTTATAGTGATTTACAGTAATTTTAATTATACGAATATTCTCGTTGATTATGGGTTTGAAATGAATATGGCAGTGTCATCCAATGAAAATACGAGTAACTAACTCTAAATTCTAATTATGAGGTGGCAAATGAGTTAGATACTTTATCTAGACCGTTATTCAGAAGCTACAAATCTATCGATTAAAATAAGCATGAAAATGTTATATTTTCTTAGCCGCGTATGGCACAGATCGTTAACCAGTGTTGCCACAAGCTTATTTTTCATCAGGATAGATTATCATGAGATAGCGGGGATAAATTGTTTTTTTAGAGGGGTAGACTACCCCGAATGGCGTGGCGGTGACAACACTGCCGTTACCACTTTTCCTCTCGCTAGCTCGTGCGTCACGGGCGTTTAGTGTCAAAACGATTATTCTGGTTACTGGGAATGGGTATGCTGAACTGATCCAACAAAATCTTTTTGGATAACACATGAACATTTTTTCGAATTTATTGAATTTTTTTGGGCGGAACACTATACTACACTTAAAAAAATTGCATCGTCCAGTTTATCTTTCTCATAATTTTCTATTTTTTTTCATAAATTTACATCTATACCTTTTCTCTAAATTCATAGATGATACGATTTTTCTAATAGATATGTATTATATGTATTTTGTTATTTCTATAAACACTATTTCTACAGTTGAACCTACCTGGTGATTCTACGTCTTGACAAGAAGCTTGGAGATCCTCGACGGCGTGGTATAGACAATGAACGTGATCTTCTCGATGAACAACTGGAACTATAAGAACTATCTGACGAACTAGACTGACTGTTGCTGCGAGACCTAGACCTCGAACTGTCCGAATTGCTGTGGCTCAATGATCTAGATCTACTCCTTGATTTGCTGTGCTTGGAACTAAAATAAGTATGTTTCGTAAGAAAAATATAAAACTCAAAAATAATTTCATTACCTATGACTTGAATGAGAAGAGCTTCTACTTCTAGATTTGCTTTTTCTATCTTTAGACCGACTCTTGGATCTTGATCTACTATTGCTGCGTTTCTTTATATCAAAGGAATCTTTATTAATATCTGGTGATTTGGAGACATCTTTCTTCAACGGCAGTATTTTAATATCGAACAGATCGGGATGAATAACATCTTTTGCCACTAAAGTTTTGATGGGACTTACAACCGATTCCTTTCTTTCTCGTTTCTTTTCTAACGCCTCCCTAGCTTTTGCAGCCAATCCGCTCTTTAACAATTTCAATGTTCTCAATTCCTTTTCGTCAAATTCAATTTCCTCTTTGTCACTTTTCTCCGATTCTTCTGATTCGCTAGATGAAGGTCTCAATTTTACAACGGGTAACGGTTTTTTCACCTTGGGCGACTTCGTACGAGACTTCTCAGATTTCGTTTTTGATCTTGGTGGCTCCAAAGGGCTCTGTGATCTTGAGTTTCTCTTTGGAGGAGATCGGGTTATTGGTCTATCAACTGGAGAGGACGATTTACGTCTTTTGTGTCTGTTGTTTGTAGGACTTCCAGATCTAGATCTCTTTCTGGGAGAATGCTTATGAGGATGCCTTTCAGGTGGTGTGAGTGACCGATTCGATGAATATCCAACCGTTTTTAAACCTTTTTCTTCACTCCGATTGTAATCATTCTTTGAATAGCTATATCCATGTTTCTTATCAAGACTGACACTTCTTTCTCTACTTCTACGTTCCTTTCCTTCATTTTTACTATCAACTGTTTTATTTCTGCCATTAATTCGATCTGAAGAATTCTTACTCCTATCTTCATTTCTATTTTTCTCTATATTTTTTCCGTTTTTATCTCTCTTTGTATCACTATTGTAACTACTGCGCCTTTCTAAACCCGGGGATTTAGACCTACTGTTACTATTTCTTTTATAGTTTGTATATTTATCACTTCCATACTTTTCATTTTTTGAATAATCTCTTTCGGTCGATCGATACCTTGGTGATCTTGATCTACTTTTCGATCGTCTGTCCTTATTTCCATCCATGTGCATTTTTTCATTATTTACAGAACTTTTATTTCTATGTACTGGAGACGATCTTTTGTTCTTTTCTTTGTACTTAGAGATAGATCTTGATCGGTCCCTTCGTTTAGGAGAAAATGACGCGTTCCTAGTTCGATGTGGCGATACTTTCCTATCTTCAGATTTTCTACTATTTCTGCCATTTCTATCACGCCTGCGAGAACTTTCTTTATATTTGTCAGATTCTTCTTCTGACGCGCCTCTTCTAGAATACGATTTTTTCGAATTTTCTACAGATACGGATCTTTCCCTCTTTAAAACGGGCGATTCTGACTTCCGAGACCTGTGAGAATGTTTTATAGGAGATTTACTTCTAGATTTTTTACGATCAGGGGTTCGTTTGCGAACTTCTACTGAAGTTGACCTTCTGCCGTGTTTATATTTATTCTTGTCATTTCTATGGTTCTCGTTATCATTTTTTTCATTGCGCCCACCAGAATGCTTTCTAGGAGTGCGGCTTCTATCTTTCCTTCTAGGCGGATTGTCCTTGGATCGATCCCTTGAATAATTGCGCCGCTCTTTTGAAACTGATCTTGAATCCCTTCTAGATTTTCTTGAAGAGTTTTTGTCTCGTTTGTCTTTTTCTTTTCTGTCTCGAGAATCCTTGTCTTTTTTATCAGATTTCTTTTTCCTTGTATCTGGAGAACTGTAACATGTAATATAAAAAATATAAATACACATTTTCCTAGTTATTTTTTATTTAACATACCTCCTATCAGAGCTTTCCGATGAGCTTCGCTTCTTCTTTTTAGATCGTTTTTTCTGAGAATAAAAAAACGTATTAAAAATTAGTTAACGCAGTTTGAACAAATACACACAGTGCCCTATATTATAATATATGTATATCTACACTTCTTCATGTTAATGTAAATGTAATAAGTTTGTGAATTTATATCAATCTAAAAACAAGCCAAAAAATAAAACTTGCAACACTATAACCAAATGATCCAAAAATGAAACTTATCATTACTTACTACTTACATACAAACAAACAAAATACAATACAATACTTGAAAATAATTATTATACTTTTTTTTTAATTTCCTGCATAGGCAGTGTACTGCCTAATAAATGTACAACTAATATGCAAGTTGTACATTTTGTATATCAATAAAGTAGTTAAAAAAATGAAATCAATTTATAACCACCATTTCAGAATTTAGTGTTTAAAAAAACATACAGGGTGCCTTCCGAAAAAGCTTCATGTCTGAGGTTTGAGATTTTCGTACTCCAATCTTCTTTTTATAAAATATGCGAGCAACAGCTACGCACATTTTAAAAGTATTTTTGTCAATATACACGGAGATTCAAACATATTTTCAATCTAAAGTTGTATATTTTTAAATGCTTTTATTTTTTAGCTTAGTATATTTGTCATTAAAGTACCAGTTTGAAGAAGAACTACCACTGTATAATAGTATATTCTTCAAAACCCAGCCAACTAAAATTTGTAATGTTGTTACAAATACGGGTGAATGAAAACTAAAAATATTTTTCTCCATTATTTCAAATGGAACACCCCGAATTTTGTATCAAAAATGAACGGAGTTTTGTTTAATGTTATTGGTTTGTTAAATACTTCCTATACTATATTATATTATTACATATGTATATTTTTGAGATAAAAAAACGAGATTTGGTATGTTAGTATATGACATAAATTAGGATTGACGTATTTAATTGTTTTTGGTCACTTGGAATACAATTTTGTTCTTGTGATATACAGGGTGTCCCAATGTTCCGTGGACATAGAACTACTACGTATTTTTGGAATCAGAATAAGTTCGTTGGACACAATTTACCTCTACCGGGTGCGTCTCAAAAGTGGCTCACCCCTATAACTTTTTTATTTTTTTTTTAAATACCAAAACGAGATTTAGTATGTTAGTATATGGCATAAATTAAGATTGATTGACGTACTCAATTGTTTTTGGTCACTTCCTGTTTCACCGGAAATGACTACAACTTTTGATTTTAAATGACACTATCGGTATTTTTTTAGTTTATTCGATAGAAAATGACATTCTGAATAGAATATGTCAACTTTTGGGATTCTAGCTTAATAAAAAATCGTATTTTAAAATTCAATCTATAGTGCTATGGCTATGTTAAAAATACCAATTCTTAATCAAGGAGCTTTGGAAAAATAGATTCGATCGTCTAATGTTTTTAGTGTCTTGTCCTGGTCAGTTTGGTTTGGTTTGATTTGGTGATGAAAATACTCAAATGAATTATGAAAATGCTCAAATCGTATTTTTAATCATATCTTAAATTTTTCAAATGGAACGAGGATGTATCAGCATATTTGGAAAAAAAACATTTTTTACGAATAACTTGATACCACACACTTACTTGGTATTTCGAGTCAAATTTTCTTTACAAACCGCAAATTATAATTTCAAATAGACCATATGCAAAAATGTCAAAAGTTGACATAGTTGTCGAATAAAGTAAAAAAATACTGAGAGTGCCATTTAAAAATCAAAAGTTGTAGTAATTTCCCGTGAAACAGGAAATGACCGAAAAAAATTGAATACGTCAATCAATCCTAATTTATGTCATATACTAACATACCAAATCTCTTGAGACGGACCCGGTATATAAATAATTATTTGTGACGTTTAAAAAAAATAGCATGTTCTATTCGGAGTAAAAATAGCTTTCGTGTAATGTCAAACGTACACAAAAAATAATATCATACTCGCCACAAAATGTATCATTTTTACTTCTAATAAAACAATATTTATAAGTAATTTGGTATTTAATATTTCTTAGAGAGTTATTTATAAATGTGCAAACTATATAGTCCAAATTATGATATTTTTGGAACGACATTATGATATTTTTGCAATGACTTCTTTTAGTTTGAATCACCTGTACATTGTACATTGACAAAAATATTTGTAAAATGTGCACTAATTACTTGCTATTGCATAATCTATATGTATATTAACATAACCTCAACCAGAAATCTAATATAAAGGTATTTTACAACGAAGACACCCCGTGTTAGACTCGATTTAAAAGTACAAAATATTGAAATGGCACTACCAATTTCTTATAAACATATTAATATTTGCTGCATGCACTTGAAACGTCCCACACGGACCAGTACTTACTATCGACGTAAGCCAATCAGGCTATCCTATATTGATGCGCAAAGTTTAAAAAAACAATGTTTACTTATTTTAACAAAAAAATGCCGGCATGCAATTAGCGTACAATAAATTGTTTATATAAAACAAATACACGCCAAAAAAAACTAAAAAAAAACAGGCTTCTTATCGGACAACTAATTAAGATGTGACGTGGAGACTATATAGGACTATATTATTATTAGCAAAAAGTATATTAAAATTATATATATCAATCACTGACTATGACAATAATGATAAAAATATTTTACATTCAATAAATATAACAATCTTCCTAAAGTTCTTATACAGGGTGAGTCGTTACACTTATACATAAGTGAAAATATTTTCAGGGCTGGTAGATCTCGATAAAAGAAACATATTTTCTCTTTACCGTTTTTCAAATAAATCCAAAATAACATTTTATTTTGAAAATTTCCAAAAAAAAATATTTTTTGCTTAAATTTTGAGAAGCAGTAGATCTTTTCTGGGTTTTCCTTCTTGTAAAATTAATCTATTACCTATGTTGCCATATTATCAAGAAATTATGTTTTTTAACTAAAAACTAAAAATAAACCCAAAATTTTAGTCAAAAAATTCCAAATCTTCAATTTTTTGCGAAAAAAACCTCATAATCGTGTTTCTGGGGTCGAAATTCGAAATATACTGCCCCTAAAAATATTTGCACTTATTTAACACTCACCCTGTATAATAGAGGATTTTAAACAGGAGATTGTTAGAGTTCGATAGAATGGAGGAAGCTTGGAGAGCATAATACCGGGCATAATACTGACATTCGGCGAAGTCGGCAAAAGTTAAAGTTAGATGTATTGCGAGCATTAAAAAATAAATAAAAAAGCGAGTCAAACACTATTTTTTATATTTAAGCATTAACACATTCGATGAGAGAGCTTTTTCGACAGATGAAATTAATACATTACATACGACAAAGCTATTTCAACAGATAAAATCCAAAAAATGACAGAAAATAAATCTACATTTAAATTAAAATGTCAGTGACAAGAATTTTTACTGTCATCTATCATTGAACGGTCTATAAACGGAAGAACATATTTTATTTATAATTGTTTAAATTACAGCTAGAAATCTTTAGAAACGGGCTTCAAAAATAGTTATTTGTGCTACGTGCAATCGTACCCAGATTAAAAAAACATGAAAACGAATAAAACAAATTTTCATTAGTATGTAATTATATGATGAACATAGTAAACACCACGAATGTTTGGGAGTGATTCATCGCTTAATGAAGTTAGAAAAGCATCTGACTGCGCTCCTCCTACTTTTTCTAAAATGTTAGCGTGATTGACAAAGACGATACTATATCGCGTTTCTTTGACTGATTCGTTTTTGTGCGTCAGTCCATTGGTGTGCTTGCAGTGCGACCAGTGGGGCATTCCAGTTTATATTTATAACCAAATATATGTTCTGACAAGACTTTAACAGTTTGCTGGAATGCTACATATTATTGATTATTTTATTTTTGTGTTTTAGTATAAATTTGGATATTTTTAAACTGTTTTTGTAATATTTTTGTAATATTCATCAATAATAATAAATTTAAAATTTCATGAACAAAAACATAAACAACAGATTATATATTGATTATTATATGACTTGAAACACCACGGCACTGGAATTAAGTTTTATGTGACCTTGAACAGATTAGTTCACATGGTAGCGACCGATGAATCACTCCCAAACATTCGTGGCGTTTACTATAGTACTAATCAGTTAAGAGTACTAAACCATTCAGTTAAGAGATTCATGTAAACTTTAATTATATTTTCATTAAGTTTACTTAAGTTGTGTCAGTAGGTTTCGTATATTTTTGTTATTAATAACTAACAATGTGTTGTAGTACTCATTTACTTTTATTAGAAACACATTTTATACTCAATTATAATTATTATTAACAACTAATGACTCAATAAAATCAGTAAATTTAACAGTTAATTAAAAAAATTGGCGCCGGGAGGCACGTATAGCCGCCCATACTTGATATTTTTTTTATCTCAAAAACTGCGACTTGACTGATTTTAATGTTATTACAAATTTTGTTGCAAATATTATTCCTACTCTTAAATTGAAAACCGCGTTTCGCTAGCTACTATAATTTTGGAGTTTTTTTTTCAATTTTTAACCCCCTCCCATACTCCCTTACCAACCCTACACCCCCACCAAAAACTAATGGCCAGATTTTCGGGTGGAAATTCACAGTATTTTTGTGCCAAATTTGGTTAAAAACGGTTTAGCGGTTTTTGAGTTCTCTGTCAGACGGACAGACGGATAGACGGACAAATAGACAGACACCATGGAAATATTTTGTATTTAAGTAATTTATGACCCAAATAACTCATTTTGAGTGAAATTAAAAAAAAACTTTTTTTGCCGATCTTAATAGCCTACCATACCTGTTGGTACTGTCAAGGTGTATGTAGCGCTAAAATGTATTATTGGTTGCCTACACAACCGCAACGTGTCAAGAAAAATGGCGCATCCGCCAGAGAGTAAAATACATTTTTAGGCGCCATCTCTTAATCAAGTCGACAAGTAAGCGAATCAGACAATGGAATTGTCCAGTATGAAGCAGAACGCTCTCCGATAATTGTAGAAGGTTCGAGAAACAATCAGTAGGGGTATATAAAGGCCCGTTCTTGGCAGTTAGACCAGTTTGAAGTTTGAATATACCGCGTTTGGAAATTGTGAATCGGACAATTTGGTGAAGAAATTTTATAGTTAGTTATTGTGTGTATAAAGTGAGATAATAAATTCGTTAAGTATTTTGTCGTGAGTTTAAATTAGTGGATCCACGGAATCCGTAACAGTACGGTCGACTAAAAATCGGAACGTCCCTGCTAATCCGAAATTCAAATCGGCCATATTGAAATCCCTTCGCGGTACCGCCTATATTTATTATATAATACTACTTCTTACTTTTTATTCAAAGACTTTAAATTATATTTACATATAGAGCATACTTCAAACAGGATATATATTTGAGATTTTGCATACATTACAAAATTTAACAAAATCATTCATTTCAGTAACAATATTACAAATTCAATACAAAAGCAATATACAAATAAGATTTATTAGAATAAAGACTGAGCAAGCTGTTAAAATACCATCTAGTTGATAAAAAACAAAAATAGTGTAAAAAATGTTTACTTCCATCATACCTCTTTCTTTTTATTCTTCTTCTTTTTTCTATCGTCGTCGTCAGAACCACTGTCAGAGCTGGAATCCGATTCGTCAGAAGACTCCTCTCGGCGTTTCTTCTTTTTCTTCTTGTCTTTAGACTTCGCGGATCTAAGAGAAAATAAAAATAAAGATTATAATAAAGTAAAACTAATAAAGTAGGTGTTTAACACAACATAAAAGGTTTTCAGTTGTTTTAGTTTACACATTTCAGTTTTAAAAATACACTTGAGTGAGATACGCTGCTTACTTTTAATATTCTGACTATTGCAAATTTAAACACATAATATAATTAATGATTGTTTGAGAATATTAAGTAATTTTTTGAAATAATAATCATTACCCCGAGTATATCATTCAATCGAAAAAAAAAGCGACGACAAAGAGCTTGGAAATGAAAATCGCTGTCCATTTTTTATCCATAAATTAGTCGTGTATGGGAAATGCCATCAATTTCCATTCTCAAGCCGTTTTATTTGGATCATACGGTATATTCATCCCATCAAAATTCTTAGTCGTCTACTCTTTACTATACATCTTTTGGTATTCTAATATGCCTTTAAAAACCATATATCAGCATACTTATCAATATACATATCACATTCCAGAAAAGACAAGTTGAAACCCATAATTAACTCTAGAAGACTAGTGTATTTAAGTTTCAACATGGAACATTTTATTAAATCAAAAATGCAAAAACTACATAACGCATAATACCTTAAACAAAACCCTACCCACCATTGTTGTTTTTATGATATGGTGTGGTTTGCAGTTTGTAGTTCTATGTTCAGTTGCATTTATTTTAATTTTACTTGTGTTATATTTGTTTTTAGAGATATTGGTGAAAATGCCTTCGATTACACGCATTATGGTACGTATACATTGGCGCGCTGATTGCGCGTCGATTCGCCTCTATTGGTACTTGGGACGTGTTTTCAAGTCTCGCGCGCTCTGTGCGCCAACAGCTAGCCGCGAACCATCTCCAGTCGGTTTTTCGACGCTCCGCTTTCTATGTTCGTTGTTCAATTGGGACGGCCGGTAAAAACACCGCGCCCATTCTACGCGCATTTATCAGTGACTATGTGTATTTTCTGTGAATAAATTCACTTTCTTGTGTTTTTCTTTGAATATTGTTTATTAATGAATAAAAATTGCGTAGTTCTTTTCGTACGATAGAGACATGATTAACGACTAAAATAATGTTCGCGGGATTTCTATGGATTGCGGGATGTTCGCGGCGCCGCACAGTGATGCAGAAGTTCCCAAAAGCGGCAGAAAATCAAAATATCAAAAGTATTTTTTCTTAATTATAATTTCACTCGTATAGTTCCTAATAGACCATATTTTCAGAATCGTGAAGATTTTTGAATGAAAACGGGCCCATTATTAATCCCTGATAAGAAATGTTCGAGCTTATAAAATTATTAGCTGAAGCTAAAATATTTTGATTAAATTTTAATTAAATAAAATTAGTGCGTTTAACGTTGGTGATAAATTAGTTAAAAACTGATGGTACTCTGAGAAAGTACAATGTTTTCAACTGTTTTTCGTCATGGTAATTCTAGCTTTAACTTCCCTGTGGTACCATAAAAAAATCAATAAAGACCTTGATGTAATTAAGAACTGCTTAATCTAAAATCACATTTTATGTAAGCTAATACAAAATGCTCCAAATTGCTCCTAAAAAATATGATGTAGGTTATAATTATTAGCCTTTTTTCTTCATAACTACGAAGTTTCATGACCAACATTAGCCCACAAATACCCTTTAAATTGCCTAACTCTCCCGAAAACCATGGTTTAGTTTCCCAAAATAAATTACGTATGACAGTAATATTGCTGGGTGTTTCTTATGTGCTGTAAAATATTGTTGTTGGTTATTTTTAATTAGTTTTAGAAAGAAAACTGTAATATATTTTCTCTTATTCAATTTAATTTTCGATATACAAAGTATTCAAATTTAAAAATACTTTTTATTGTGTAATTTTAACTAGCTTTTCCCTGTTAAGCCTAAGTTTTTATTCGTTTTGTGCTTATATGACATTAAATTTAATATTATTAGAAATCTCATTAATTTTGAATAATTATTGTTAATATAAACTAAAAAGACGTGTCAATGTGTCTATCATGCGTCAATATTCATTCAACAACTTTTATCAAGAATGTCAAGCACCTTCTAGATACTAATTTTCTCGGATATAGTAAGAGATCACCAAGACTTCTCCTGTCAAGTAAAATAGAACAGCATCCTGAGGTTCCAAAACTTATTATAGATTAAATTATTATATTTTTTTATCCATTTGCTAAATCCATCTTAAATATATTATCCATCTTATCTAGAAGCTTTAGGATAATTTTTAGTTTCTTTTTCTTGTGTATTAAATTCTTGTAACTAAGTTCTAATTATCATCTAAGTATAATATTTTTACCACAGGTAATTACAGATATTTCTAAATTATAGAACATTTAAAAATATAACTAAAATTAAATGGTTGTAAATGAACAACTGCTTACATCTAATGCGAAAGGAGCGCTCAGTCTTTTAGATGTTTTGGTGTTACCCTTAATCAAGGGTGTTACTTTCATTAATATCAACTACATAAAATATACAGATGTATTTACTTTCTTTTTTTTTCTCATGGAAATGAATGTCAATATCTTGAATTTAGTAATACTTATTGGTAACTAGTTCTGAAAAAAGGATTAATTATAGTAAGAACGAAATGCTAATTCTATTGTAGGGGGCTGAAAATAAAACCCTGTATATTTATTAATGTGTTTACACAAACTTTTTTTGATTTTTTAAACTTTACAAAGAATAGAGTATTAAATTAATATGCTATTGAAGACAAAATAATATAATTAATTTTTTTACAACCCATTTTTTATTTTTTACAGCCAATTTAAGTACACACTGTATACATAATTCAATTTTCTGAACTCCAAACATCACTTATACACTTAGAAAACCACATTTAACAAAAATAATTTTAAAAAATTTAGCAGTAAGTTGAGAAATTATTTTTTGCCACTTTTCGCGTTCTCGACATCACTGTGCGCCGCACAGCGCTCCAATGTATATGTACGTACATTAGACGACATAATTAGTACGCATACGCAATAGTTACTTAATCTGATCGTTTCTATGACATTCATTTCTTCCCTCTTTCTTCGTGAGAATAGCCAGTCAAAAAAAAACATAAAATACAATTTACGTGTGCATTAAAATGACAGACATTATTGTCATGGTCTATATGAAAATCAATTTCAGTGACAATGATATAACGTCTAGTGTGAAAACACTGCTCTAATTTTTACAATTAAACGTAACAGCAAATAAATTATACTAAGTGAATTCATCTCATTATATAATGCAACTGGTAATCCCTTTCATTTGAAATTAAAAATAATTTCGAAAATTGACACCTATCGGGAACATCTATAGCACAAATACTTAACTGATAATAATAACTGCTAACTAGAGCATAACACAATAATAAAAATAAAAAATGTAAAGAGTATATAAGAGTAATATATATATTACTACACATAGTTTCTTTGTCAGCATGGCTACACTAAAAATGGTACACACTCAGTATGGCTACACTAAAAACTACATAATATCGTTCATTGAAGAAATAAGATGTACAACCTTATGGGCGATTTTGTGGCATAAAACCTGTCCGAGATGTAGCTGTTGCTACCGTCAGCCTGTCCGAGAATTCCGAGATTTAGTTTAGCTCTGCGCCGCTCCGCGCTGATAGTCGTTTAGAGCGCAGGGGATAAAGAATACTGTACCGTAGTTCCGCTTTAAGTCGACAGAGTGGGTGGTTGCTGGAGACAGTGTTGCTGATTAATCTAGTGATTAGTCCGTAGATTTAGGGATTTTGGGTACAAAACGTTAATAATACATATTTTCTATCATTAAACAATTATTTAATATAATATTATATGATTAAACAAAGAACGTCGTCAGAGTTGGCTTGGAAATCAAGAGCGCTGTTATTTCATATGTAAAATATTATGGTAAATGTCAATAATCCTCATTTCCAAGCCAACTAAACGACTTTTTTCGATCATACGACATATTAAGTACCTATAAAAGAATTTTTATTTTTGTTGCTTATTCTATGTTTAACACGAATGAATTTTCAATACATAAAAGCAGATTTTTCATCCAAAGATATTTTAACACTGTCGCTTTTATTCAACACTGTCGCTTTCAGATCCACACCGTCTTCGATATGCCTTTGCTGACCGAATTAGAGAAAATAAGTGTTTTATGCGTTGACCACAGAATGATTGTCGTCTCCACCGTGCAGCACTTGAGACGTAAGAGGAAATAAAATCAGCCTTGTCAGGAATTCGCCCATTAGATTGCGTATCTTCCCAATTCTTTCAATCAACGCTAATATGATTTTGTATGTGGCATACTGGCTGTATGTATATAAAGCTAAGTTTAGCTTTGCCCAGTCCCAGTATATTATTTTTTATTAACTCTAAACCATAAAAAATACTAAAGATTTATTATTTACTCAAAACTACACAAGCACATTCAATACCATCAAAATCAATACTAGTTAGATTTATCATTTAAAATTTGGTGACAGTATTACCTAAAAAAAGTAACAATACTAAATTTAATCAATACAATTTACCTATACCGTAATATTTAATGATATTGTAATATTCTTTTACAATAATAATTATTTAATTTATCAATATTTTATTCTTTAGAATTAAAGAATTAGTAGAAATAAGACTATTAAAAACTCACTTTCTTGTAATTTCATTCCTACGATTAATTTAATTATGTTGCAATAAAGATATAAAAAATAACCTGAAATGTAGTAACTAAAACACACTCTATGTTCAAAGATATACATTTAAATAGAATGTACGTAAATAGTTTGTAATAAATTAAATTTCAAACTAATAAAATAAAATATACAGAAAGTTATCAAACGTCGTAATTAATAGACTCCAATACCCCACTTAATTCAGTTTACAAGATGTATATAGTTCAAAGAAAAAAATATATTTAGACGTATTATGAACAATTTTTACTTTGCATACAGTTTGATAAAAAATACCATATCAGAATTTCTATATGAGCTTTCTCTTTAATATTTTTTTACAAAATATGTAGGGAATGATTTTCACATTGATTTTTATCACACTTTAAAAATATTTTTTATAGATATGTAAATTTTGTGCTGCATGGAAATGTTCAAAAATTTTCATTTCAAAAATATCATACTGAGTGGTTTGGGATAGTACCTAATTTTAAGACTAAATTTTCTACAAATTTAAAACTCGCCCAAAATTATAAAATAGACAGACAATATTGACAATAAACAAAATATAAGTAAGATAATTCCTACGATACGCTGTAAGCTTTAGTAAAAGAAATAATTAGTGAGTATTGTAGTCGCTTTAAAACCATAGCTCAGAAACATATTTTTATAACAATTTATATACCAAAAATCCTAATGTCATATTACGTACCAACAATACAAATGCATATCTTTAAACAACAATAATATCAATTTGATTTTTAGCGATAGCTCTGAAACGTTTTGGTGAACGCACCTTTTTATCCGCAAAGTAGGACAGGCTAAACATCATAAAAGGACAAACGAAAGTATAAATCGGACGAAAGAGTATAAAATCGGACCATACAATAATTACCTGATTACAGCCATCTTAAAGACGTACGGCAAAAAAAATACACCACCAATGAATTAGTATATGAAAATATTATTGAATAAAAGTGAAAATAATGGAAAAAGTCATTAAACGAAAATATAACATCAAATATCTATAAAATTATATAGACTATAAGTTTCAATTAAGTTGTACTTTTTTAAATGTAAATAAAAGTATATAGAGAGAACATGATGAAAAAATGTCTGCAAAAGTCAAACGCCTATTGTCATTACTTACTTGTCCTTTTTCCTACTCCTCTTCTTCTTTTTCTTTTTTGATTCCTCACTTGAAGGACTAAGGTCGCATTGTAACAAGAAAAACGAGGTCATTATCAAATAACACAACCACCCTGCTAATATAATTTGTGCCAATTAATACTCACTAGCAATTATATTGTAAAATATATTAGCATTTTCTATATTATGTGTGAAGAAGTTAGTAAAATAAATTGTATTTCTTAACTTTGTCAGTGATTCAATGAAAAGTATGCCCCGTCTATTAACTACAAATATAGTACGTAAGTAAGCAAAAGTCCATACAAAATTTAAAATAAAAAACTTGTAACTCTTGTAGCTCTTAGATACAGAAAAGAAGATACACAGAATATTTAATTTTCAAGTACTAGATACGAATTTCAGTAGTATGTTTTATAGAATCATCTAAATGATTATACTATAGTCTGTGAAACGAATAACTTTGAATTTGACAGTTTCCGCGGGCTTTTCTAGTGTTAATTTTATTAGGTTAGCAACTTGTGGGCATGCTGAGGCAATGCCGTCTCTAATAGAACAGCCTCGGAGCGAGATTTATGACGTCACGCTAGTTAGATACTACGGATTAATAAATATGTGTTAGAATACATGGAAAACATAATTATTCCTCGTATTTTTGGTTTGTATTTTAAAAATTATATAATTTACATGAAATATACATAATATACAGTTAATAAATACAATATATATTCCTATTTATAGTAATAAATACTTTGGCAAATAAACAATGAACCATACAAATGCAGCAAATGTTTTACAATATACAAATAATGAATAGGTACATAAGATAATGGGTAAAATGTAAAATATATTTTAAAATTTGGGGTTTGAAAATCGATCTAATTTAACAAAAAACATTCAATATCTATTAATAGTGATGTATTATTATTTGCATTCACAAAATTTATATGTATATTTTGCAAGTATCAATGTTCAAAAAATTATATTTGCAAATAATACAATATCATAGAAAAAAGGCGTTAGCGATGGAAAGATCGCTGTCATTTTATATGTAAAATTTTCTTGGGATTTAGGTTCGGGAAAAACGCTGATTTCATTTGATTTTTCATTATTTTTTTTGGTTAAAAAAACATTTTAGTATAACCAAAAATGCGAGGAATAATTATGTTTTCCATGTATTCTATTAACATATTTATTAATCCGTAGTATTGATAACTACTGATAAACTGTCATAAATCTCGCTCCGAGGCTGTTCTATTAGAGACGGCATTGGTCTGATATTTAGAAATGTCAAAAGCTGATGACACTTTACTTTTGACAATTGTGACATTTCGTGTTGATTTTTGCAAGAAGAGGAAGAACTGTCACTTGTTTTATTATTTTCCTTTTCTATCTCACGAAAGTAAAAAGAGTTACCTAGCTGATTCGTTCAGGCACTCAATTTAAAGAATATCAGTAACTTTTTTGACTTTGATTTTATATTTGCCATGTTGTCATTCATTTTATAGAAGTTATTCATTTTATAGACTATACCCGAATCTCAATAATAAAGTGTGAATTAATCGAAATACCTAGAGTGGCACAGAATTCGCCAAGTTTCTCAGCTCTGTAATTCTGAAAGAGTCGAATTGTTTGGTTAGGAGAGTCATCCTAGAGGAACCACACAGCGCCAAGATCGTCGATTCTGGCTTTTAGACAGATTCAGTAAAACCCCCAAATCAGCGATTTGAAGGACATGGTAGAATGGTTGGTATATGAGCACATGCCCGACAGCAGCAATGGAGGTCATCCTAGACCTAACCATGCACATTGTCGTCGGTAGTTATGCCAATGCGACACATTATTAGAATGGTCATTGACGGAAATAGTACTGGGAGAATTTTCAGATCAAGGGCTTAAAATACCCTCAAAAAGAAAATTCCACTTCTCCAACTCCAAGTGGATGAAATACCAAGAATTTACGACTTTGAGAAACACCTCACTCTAGTATTGAGTAATAAAAAGGATTGGAAGGGAGAAACGTTTGCTCAGCATGTAAAAGACCATACCTTAACGTTGTATACTGATGCTTCCAAAACCAAAGCAAGGACAGAGATAGGAGTATTTAGGCCGAAAACTAAATACTCCGAATCAATGGGCCCCAGCATCCTTCAGGCAAAAATCTACGCTATCGAAAGATGCGTACAATTTATCTTATATAGGAACTATCGAAAACAGGAAATAAACGCGATCAACTCGAAGTTGGTTAGAGAATGCCAGGAGGAACTGAATAAATTAGGCAAAGAAAATAACTCTGGGTGCCCGCTCACCAATGGATAGAAGGCAATGAAAAAGCAAATGATCTAGCTAGAAAAGGAGCGAGCACTCCATTAACTGGACTAGAACCGTTCAGCTTTCCAAGTGGAAACCAACTAAAAACATGCGCACATGATAAATCAGCTTGGTTAAAGTATACATTCATTTGCTTGAAAATCTGCGTACCTATGTAGATATTCGCTTATGTTATGTAAACAAATTAGGCTCTAAGGTCAATTGAAACTTCATTAATAAAAACTATTGAAACTGGTACTCTGACTGCTCGCACATTTACGAGAATAATTGCAGTAGGTAACAAGCAGGTACTCAAAAACAAGCGAAGATGACAGAATGTCGTGAATAAGCTGTGGTAGCAAAGAAAAAACACAAACAATTTGTTGAGTTAGCTTAACAACACTTCCGAAGATATGAAACAATGACGAATAATAAAAAGATGAAAAATAGTTTATCTTCAAAAAGCTACAACTGCCCGAGAAAGACTCCTTTACACTGCAATTCCCTTTAATAATCTTAAATTCTAATTCTGGAATCAGAATTTAAACTCGAACACTATTAATTCTTTAAGCAGAACAAACAAACTCAAAACACGGGAGCCTACAAATATAGTGAAATAATCAAATAACTACAGATAGTATATAATAGATACGCAAACCAGTATAGATTATAGATACATTGAATTTCTATTAAAGTATTTCCATCATTATCTTACGCGTTAAAATCCGGACCGTCTATTTAGTAAGTTTCAGAATGTATAATATAAGCAAAGTAAATTGGCAAAATTATCAAGCCAATACATCTTACTTTTACTACTAAATATGAAAATTGTTACGTTTTCTAAAGACATAACTGTTTGAATAAAGAAACTCCCTGATTATAGTACCTGAACCCAGCGACTTAACAAGCTCATTCTCACCTGTTATCTTTCTGTTTCCTTTTCTTCTTCCTTTTGGGACTGCGCACTTTGCCTGTGGCTTCTGGCTCCTCGTCGTCGCTTTTCTCCGGACTCGGTGTTCTCACCAATTCGTATCTGCCCGCATCCTGCTTTTCTTTTTCTTTCTCTAAAGCCCGTTGTTTCTCTCTTTCGGCGGCGGCTGCGCTTGCGGCCAGTTTTTCCTTCGCCTGACGGTCAGGATCAAAACTGCTGCCCTCTACGAAATATTCTGATATGCCGAATGCTTCGCGCAGTCTAGCATTCTTTTCTTGCTGCGCTTCGGCTACTTGATGCGTCTCGGTGACACTAAAAATAAGAGATTGATTTAATTTGCTATAAATATACATATTGTGTATAAACATTTAAAGCAGATATTTTTTACAATGGTCAAGCTACAAATTTAAAAATGTTCCCATATTATACTATAACTAGAATGTAGAATGAGGAAGAGGGAGGAGGAACGGGTATTTCCCATCTTCCTCTGACAACAGATGCTCAGAGGAGTGGGCATCTACCTCCTACTATAATCCACGGTTGGGACTTAGCGCTCCGTGCCCTTCACCGTTACAAGGAGGTTGTCTCTGCCCGTAATACATGACCACAGACAATAAAGGGTACCACAGACGGACAGGGTAGTCCCATGGGGCATCGTTGTACGTTTTGGTGCAATTCCCTGGCCACTACAGACAGCGACAAGACAATGAAATGCTCCTTAGACCCAGCTAAAGTGCCAGTGGGGATTCCCCTAGGAATTTTTTAACGATATTTAATTAATTTTTCACAACAGTGAGACGAGATAAAAAATAAATGGATTTTTGTATGTTGAACACTATAGTTTTATTAAAATATAGTAGGTAATCTTTTACAATGAAAATCATGTCAATTTCACAAAAATAGCAAATTCAAAACTGATAGATTTTAAACGAACTGACATACTTTGCTGAAATGTTTCGATCGATAATTTGATTTTAAATCGATAGAAATCATTAATCCTAAAATCCTCTATCACAGATTTGCCAGCTACTTTAATCATTTTGGATTTCTCCGTTTATACTAAGTATTTATATGGATATTAAAATTTATGAAGTAAAATTTATTGACAGAATCATTTAGCACTTTATAAACATTTAATAATCTTAATAACTAAAATAAAATTTACAGTTTTTCTCCACTAATTTTCTAAAAATATTTGGAGAAAAAGATTCTACAAATAAATTTAGTTCTGTAACTCTAATAATTATGTGACAAAAAGGGTTTGTACTATTCCTTCTGTACCCTCAAAGAACCCAATAAATTACCTAACGCCCCCATAATTTTAACAATGAATCTTGTTTTAAAGTTTTTGTTTCCGAAACCAATATAACACAAAAGGAAGTGAAGCCAAAAGAATTCATGTACCTAACTATTTTATTCCATCAGAAACCTTGTAATGAATACCAAAATAAGTGATATCAAGGTACAAAAGATATATGAGGAGAGTTTTATTGAAATAGACACTTCTAATAATTCTTCACTGTATTTTTAGATACTTCTAAAATATTATTCTTTTTAATAGATTATAGATATCTATGATAGATCTTGATATATTGTGAACAAAATGTATGATGATGAACTATGTATGGTGACAATTTTATAAGAATACTAGAATGTCAAAATAAAATTCTTTGATCATAAATTTTATTATTCTAATTAAACGGTGCATTTAAAACTTAATTTTCTGTCAATTCTTTCCTATGATTATAACATACCATCATAACAAAACTGTCATAAAATAAAAAGTAATTGATAAAAGTACTACAATAAAGACCATTTCCTTTAGTGAATATTCATAGATAATAAAATAGCGTTTTAATCACTTGCAACTATACTATCTTACTTCCCCTAAAATGTTAAATCTATCTTCTATATAAAATTAAATAATATTAATTCTGTGGTACTACCGCAAAATCCGATATGTAAACAAAAATGATTTTTTTTCTTAATGCCAACATGCACAGTTTTGTTCTTAATGCCAACATGAACAACGGTAAAAAACATGATGTCAAAACCCAATATGAATATGAAATTCCTGAACAATATAATTCAATAAAATAAAAATCCTGTGTCCTACAAGTGTTACAAGCAAATTGTTCGGTGGCAGAAGTCAACATGTTTTTATGACATATCGGGTTCTGCCTTAGTACCACAGAACTATAGTGTCTACTAAATAGATTATCTATATGTCTAGTCTCCTTCTAGCTGATCCCATTGATTTTCAGATTATTTTTTCTGCTATATAAACATAATTTTTTAGTTGGGGGGAGAGGGGTTGATCATAGAAAAATAATAATTTCTCTTATTAAACGAATATTAATTTAAAAAAAAGTTCATTGTCTCAACAGTCTTTATAGATTTTTAGTTTTATGACGATAATAATAAATTACCTAAACCAGATGTATCATTCCCTATGTGCCAAAAAATATTATATAATCTCCCATAGTTTGCAGGGCATGAAATTTGTTTTAAAAGTTTTTATTCACACAAAAACAGTAGATATTACAAACTCTACTTGGATGAAGCCAAAGCAATTCTCATAAGATTTTTTTACAATTTAAATCTTCTAATAAATCCAAAAGAAGTCATACTAAGGTCTAAACAATATTTAAGGCGTATTACTGAAACAGACAAGATTGAAATAGAGATACAAGAATTTTAGAATAAAAAAAATATATTGAAATAAGCCATCAGTAAGCAAGAACTGTAAACTGAAAATTGAAATTTTCTCCAATTATTAAATAAATGACAAGAAACTCTGCAAAAATATCTACTTCCAACGCTTTCAAATAACTAAAACTAAGTGAAAACTTACTTTTCTGTCAATTCTTTCTCGTGATTATAACACACCATCATAACAAAACTGTTATAAAAATACAAATTAATCGATATACTACGGTAAAGACAACTTCCTTTAATAGTGATTACTCATAACGCTAAATATTAAAATGTATCGCTTGTGACCACTATCCCACTTCCGTGACACTCTAGCTTAGTATGAAATAATATGGGAAGGGTGGCACGCGACGACTAGCCTCCCCCGATCAATACGTTCACCCCTGTGTCTCGCACTGACGCAGAAGTAGGGTAAAGCCTCGGCGGTGGATAAGCGTGCTCGGAGAAATAGTTTTTTTTTTCAAATTTTTAAATCAAACTTATCGATTATAACAAAAAAAAACAAAGTTTCTAGACGTAAAACACCTCTGGATTATTTCTGCAGATGAAATTAAGGCAGATCTAACGCGTACTTCTCAAAAAATGAATCGTTGTTGAATGAAAAGTTGTTTTTTTATTCGATAAAACTGAAATTAGATAGAGTACTGTTAAAATAGAAACAGCCAACACACGTTCAGTTACTAGACTTATCAGCAAAACTACTAGTTTAGAGGTTTAATGATTATAAACGACGAAAAATGGCGTTTCTCATATATCTATCAAACATGTCTTTCGGTTTTCGCATTCTGTATCATCCTCGTCAAATAAGAAATTATGAGAAAAATAGCCAAACCAAACCAAATTAGTGTTTTATTTTCATAATCGCTAACTAATGTGTTAATCATCGCCACGCTCATTTGCTGATGATACTAACAGGGTTACCCCTGTTACCCAAACGCGTGTCCAGTGTTAAAAGTGAAGTGTTTTAGTGTATTGGGCGAACTAGTTTAATATTTTTCTGTCTTAACACCGAACATTCCAACCTCAACTGTATTCGGAAATTATCTTTAAAGCCATTAATATATCTGTCTATAGTATACAGGGTGGTCCGAACTGTATTCCGGAAACTTCGGCAGCATATTCTGCAGATTAAAATAAGTAAAAAGTCCGTATAAATGTATGTCCTAAAATGCTTAGTTTCGGAGATACAGGGTGTTACAAGTTTCATTTTTATTTCAATTTTTTCCAAATAATTTATGAAGTAACATCAATATTTCGATGAAAATTGGTGTCTAGGAATTTTTTGACATGAGAAATTTGATTTTCATGTCAATATGACTCCTACTTGTAGAGGGCGCCACCTACATATGTTTTAACTGGTTTGAAGAGTAATAACTTTTCGTCCATACCTGTATAAAACTAGTAAGTAAAAAAATATACATTAACAACCTTTTTTATATAAAAAAGGTCTCTTGGTAAAAATCGCTACGAGTAATTCTTCTCAAGATATTTGGAATTATCGATACCTGTCATCATTGAAATAAATTAAACATGTTGCCTAATTCGTTATTAGACTGAAACCATAAATTTGATTTTTTTGTGCCAAAAGTTCAACAGAAACTGTTTATCATTTTTTCGCAGAAAAATTTATTATTAACTTAAAAAAAATAAAAAAATTTTTCAGTCAAATAACTATACTCAACGTGTGTTTATTTTTTGTTAATATAATGACATGTATTGACTATTTCCATTCTAAATATCTTGAGAACGGTTGCTCGTAGCGATTTTTACCAAGAGACATTTTTTTACGTAAAAAGTCATGGAAATGTATATTTTCTTAGTCAGTAGTTTTATACAGGTACGGACGAAAAGTTATTACTCTTCAAAACAGTCGAAACGCATGTAGGTGGCGCCCCCTACAAATAGGAGTCATATTGACATCAAAATCGAATTTCTCATGTCAAAAAACTCCCAGACACCTATTTTCATCCAAATATTAACGTTACTTCCGAATTTATTTAGAAAAAATCGAAATAAAAATGAAATTTCTACACCCCGTATCTCCGAAACAAAGTATTTTAGGACATACATTTATACGAACTTTTTTATTTATTTTTATCTACAGAATATGCTCCCGAAGTTTCCGGAATACAGTTCGGACCACCCTGTATAATGAATAATCTATAGGTACTAATTGTGATACTAATATATAAAATCCTTAAGTGACTGACATACTGATTAATCACGATCCTGCTCAAACCACTCAACGGAAGAAGCTCAGTTTTGGTATACAGGTTGATTCTAGGGTGTAGAGGTTCGATAAGGGATTTTTCGAAATTCTAGTTCCAAGAGGGTGAAACCGCCCCTCAAATATTACAATATTTTTTATTTAAAAAACGGTCAAGTTTCCGAAAAAACTTAAACACGTATATTTTATTTTGTTGTTTTACATATTTTAAGATTTTTTAAAAATGTATACAGGGTGTTTCGAAAAATCTGGTCATTGATTAATCACGATCCTGCTTAAAGCGCTGGACGTAAAAAGCTGATTTTTGGAAAACAGATTGACTTTAGGGTGTAGAGGTTCGATAAGAAGGGATTCTTCGAAACTCGAATTC